TAAAGAGAAGGGGAGGGGGAAGAGAGGGGAGGAGAGAGGGAAGGGGAGGGAGGGGAGGGGAAGAGGGAGGAAGATGGGAGTGAGGTGCCTAGGAAAAGCATGCCTCTATCATTCATATATATGTGTATACACACACACATATACATACACACACACACACACACACATATATATATATATATATATATATACACACACACACACACACACACTACATACCTATACATACATACCTATATATGTGTGTGAATGAATATAAACCTATATGAATGAATGGCATAGGTGACTTCCCAAGAAAGCCACACTTAGGTGTCTTTACAGTGGCTTTGCGTGTGTGTGTGTGTGTGTGTGTGTGTGTGTGTGTTTACTTTGTTCAAAGGATTCAGTTTACAATGAGGTTTAACGATGAAGCCAAGTTTGAGAATTAAGTAAAACCTCTATGAACTGGTTTACTTCAGTCCCTTAAAATCCTCCAGTCGTAACTGGAACTCTAGGTAGTTTTAGGGAGCATGTTGTTTAGATTTACGGGTGACAGAGGAGGGCAAACACAGATCACAGACACAACATGGCCCAAAGCCAGCACAGCTTGTTCACTTCAGTGTCCCTGTCTGAGGTGTCTTTAGGAAGATGCACATCTTCGCTGGTGATTTTGGCCTTTTCGGCTGGCTGTGCTGAAGTTTCCTGGCCCAGCTGGCAGGAAGGGTGACCTAGATCCCAGGGTGAGGGACTGTCCCACTACCCATGTCCCTTCGTATCCCCTGCCATGATGCTGCCTCACCCCATGCATGTGCTGGCCCCAGGTGGGAACCAGGACATTCTGTGACTGTCCTCCATGCATGGCCTACAGACTGGCTGGCCTTCCTGGGGGCTTGTTCCTAAATTAGAAACAAGAAGACAGGCTCTGTGTGTGTCCAGCTGCTTGTGCTTATCCCTGAAGTGACTCTGGGCCTTTACACTCTCAGAGTGTTGTTCTTCAGGATCCTTATGCCCGTGGCTTCACAAGTGCAGGTGGCACCCCCTCATCGTAGAGACCCCTCAGAAGCCCAGGGCTGCAGCCAGGAGGTGGAAGCTGAGGGGAGATTTCACCCCAGTGAAGGTTAGGAGGGAAATGGATGGAAACTCACAAAACACAGGAAACCGATATTGGCTACAAAACATAAGAGGCAAGGTTTAGGCTGAGTTCTCAAGGAGCCCTGGAGTTGAGGGAGGAGAAACCTGCGGATGAGGGAGAAATCCATTGTATGGGATTCTAGAAAATGCAGGAACATTTGTGCCATTGTGCCTTTAGTCCCAGGCTGTATACTCCGCCCCCTGGTGTGCACCCCTCCCCCTGGTGTGCGCCCCACTCCCTGGTGTGAGCCCCGACCCCTGCTGTACACTCCTCCCCCTGGTGTATACATACTCTTGACTTGCCCCCACCCCTACTGTTATCTTTCTGGCACCCATTTGTCTGCCAGAATAGCCAGGCTGCAGAACTTCTCACTCCTCTACTGACAGGGGTCCCATCTTCCCTGGATTCCCCAGGCTGCAGCCAGTCAACCGCACAGCCCACAGTGTGCTGCCTTCACCCATGGGCAGGCTTTTCAAAAGCCCTGTTTGTTTCCTTTATCTGGAAGAAAGCCCTGGCTCTGTGTGTGCCAGGCTTTGCTGGGGCCAGGGCCATCCAGGATCTTCTCCTGAGCCTGTTAGAGTGGGGGGAAGCTGGGAGACACAGCAGGAAACAGCTTTACACTGGTCCCCTCTGCTAACTCTGTGTGGCCCCTCTGAGCAGTAATTCCTCACCTCTAAGTGGGGTTGGTAACTACATTCGGCTAAGAAGAGTAGGCCACTCAGGAAGGTTAGTGACGGTGGGCAGCTAACTTCCATAATGACCAGTACTTCCTGTGCTCCCTGTTAGCTCCAGAAGGGCCAGTAGTGTCACAGTTGTGTAGCTGTGTGCTGCCATAGAGAGCCGTTTGAAATGTAATTTTAGGGACATACAAGGCTCTCTTTCTTGGGCAGTCTGAGTAATTTTGAGGGTGGTGACGGGTGTATGAGTTTGCTGTATGCAGAACACAGGGTTAGCATGCCTTGGTCACAGCTGCATTATCATCTGTTTCACAGTCTCAGGTGTGGGCAGAGGAGGCTGGGCTCAGCCACCTGCAGGGATCCAGGCTGTGTCTCAGCAGCCTGGAAGCTTATCTTCCTCTTCCTGTCTCTACAGATGGTGCCTGGGGCTGCTAGACACGTGCACTATGCAGCCTCTGGCCAGTTTTCCTTTCTGCTTTGTGTATGTACATGTGTGAACACATGTACACGTGTGATATACCCATCTCTGACTCCTCAGCACCCGAGGATTACGCCACCACCCGACTCTTTGTATGAGTGCTAGGGATAGAACTCAGACCTCTGAACCCACTGGGCTCTTTCCCCAGGCCCTGAGGCCCTGGCTTCCTCTGGTGTACCATCCTGGCTGTTTGCTTACTTTTGCTTCTTGAGTTCTTAGAGATCTTGAGTTGTTGGCAGAAAGCTCAGGTTGAGTAGAAATGCTGACGTGAGGGTTTCCGCAGACCCACGCCCTGGGATGGACTATTTCTCCTGATGCAGCATCCCTGGGTGTCCCCAGGGCTCCTACTGCAACTCTATTCAAGTCAGAAACTAGATGGGGGAGTCACATGGGTCGTTGGGTGATCGAATGAGGCTAGTTAAGAGGTTAAGGTTAACACTGCTCTTCCAGAAAGAGGACCCAGCTTTGATTCTCAGCACTCACGCAGCTGCTGACTGCCACCTGTAACTCCAGCTCCGTGGGATCCAACACCTTCTGGCCTCCTCAGGCCCTGTACAAAGAGACTTGCAGGCAAAACACCTGTACACATGAACTGAATACATCTATAAACGTTTTTTTGAAACGCTACTGTGATTTATTTTTTATTTTTATTTTTTTTTGGTATTTTGTCCCCTTTAGTCTCTCTTTCGTGGTTTTTGGATTTTTTTTCTTTGTTTGTTTCTTTTTCTGGAACTCTTCAGAACTAACCTGGTGGTGGGTCATTTCAGGTTAATGCAGGTGGCCAGTGTGGCCACTCAGCCTTTCTTTCTTCCACTTCTGTGAAGATGTATACAGACGTGTGTCACTTGGTAGACTGTTCCTGGCCAGTCAGTGTCCAGACCGGAGTCAGTACACAGCTGGCACAGAGGAAGCCATTACTTAATCAAGATTGCCAGGGGCAGCAGCAGCATCTGTTAGCCTCACCCAGAGAATTCCCAACCTAAAGCACGGAGCATGGGTGGCTACGAGTGAAGGACTTCGGCTCACCAACTTCAAGCCCTAATACCCAGAATACTTTGTGCCTTTTCACGAGGCTTTTTGGTGTATCTCTGACCAGTCATGATGGTCCAGTTGGGTCCACGTGTCATCCCACAGGAGCACCCCTGTTCCTGGCCGCTTTTGTTTGTTTCTTCAATGTCCATAGAACCTCCTGCCTCTTCCTGTTTCATACTTTCTGTCCATTTAAATTCTTTCTGTTTATGTGTGTGCACCCGAGTGAGTTTATGTGCCCATGTGAATGAGGTTTCTGTGGAAGCCACGTCACATCCCCTGGAGCTGGAGTTATAGGAGGCTGTGAGTATCCTGACACGGGTGCTGGAAAGAGGAGGTCCTCTGCAACAGCAGTAGATGGCTCCTAACTGCCGAGTCATCTCTCTGGTACCAAGGACTTTAGTTTTACTTGTGAATGTGTGTCTGTGCACATGCATGTGGGTGCCCTTGGAGGCCAGAAAAAAAGACACCAGAAAGCCCAGAGCCAGAGTAATAGATGGTTGTGAGCCACCCAGCATGAGACCTGGGAAGAGCAGAACACACTCTTAACTGCTAAGTGCTAAGCCATGTTTCCATCCTCTTTGAACTTCTGTGCATATGTATACTCTGTATGTATGTGTATGCATGTGCAAGTGTGCATGCCACAGCACAGAGGTAGAGGTTAAAGGACAACCTTGGATGTCAGACCTCAAACTCTTCTGTTTGAGGAGTATGGGTTTGTTGCTCTCTGCTCTGTACACTAGGCTGTCTGGCATGTGAGCCTCTTCCAATCTTCCATCTTGCTGTAGAAATGCTGGATTGCAGAGATGCACAGAGAGATGAACTACTGTGCCTGGCATTACTTGGGTGCTGGGGATTGGAACTCAGGTCCTTGAGTGCCAAGCATCTCTTTGGTCACTAAAGTAAGTTTTGTAGACACTATTCACCACACCACTATTAGACACTTTTGCCATGTGTGTCTTTGAGTGTGTGTGTGTGTAGTGTGTGTGGAGGTGGGTGGGGAGGAGAGGACCCTTACTGAATAAAAGGATAACTTCTCAGGGGCTAGCACTGCCCTGAGAGGTCACTGTAGGGCTGCTGTTGAAACAGAAGAACTCTATCTGTAGCTCTGTAGTCAGATTTCAGTGGAAGTCTGAGTTGCCTAACAGGGCTGATGTTGTAGCTGTTCGTACTTCCCTCGGCTCTCCCCAGGAGCCTGCGAATTGGGCCCGATGTGTTTTGGTTTTTTTAAATAAAATCTTAACTTACCAGGTTCTCAAAGGAGTTCGCTCATATCTCACTGTAGCTTCAAGTGGGCGCCGACCTTAACGTCCTCTGTGGAATTGTGTTTAGCAGAGTTTAATCCTGTCACTTATAACTGAGTGTACAGATAACCATATCGCCTCACATCACACGTCAGTGTGTCAGTCTGCATTTTCCTCAGTGTACACTTGTGCTCGTCCCACCATGACTTGCTCCATGCCCTCCCTGGCTTCTTCCTTTGGGGATGGCCGTCACCCTTCTAGCTGAGGCCACTTTGTTAATGTCTTAATACTAGCCAAAGCCTATTTCGGTGTCTGGACTGAGGCCTGGTTAGCCAGTGAACCATCTCTGCAGTGCTGTTGTGATGAGACCCTACTCTCCCCTGCCTTGATCTTAAAGATTTTATCCAGATGTATTCACAGACCCCTCATGATGGTGTCTTTCTCTCTGGGTTCTTCCACAGACTCTCTGTGAGCCGCTCCTACTGGTACACTGAATCTCCCCGGGGGCCATCTGCCCGACTGCCCCTGACTCCGGCAGCGGGGGACCCCCCATGGCAGTGGGCACCTCCCCTTGAAACCTGCCAAGCTGGACACCACAGCCCTGCACGACGACACCTTGGCCAGCTCCACACCCCTCTCTGAGGCTTGCAGCCATGCGGTCCTCGCCTGCAGCCCGGGCATCCCTGAAGAGTACTATGTGAGCGAGGCTGTGGAAGATGCTCCCAGCTACAGAGAGCACCGGGATGCCTGCACCATCACCGGTATGCTGGCCTTTCCCTGCTGGGGATGGGGAGG